CGATGGAATGGATGCCTTGCTGACATTCCCGCATTCTGCTGTGTTTCTAAGTCTGTCTGTGTGTGCGTGCTTGTGACCTGCATGCCTGTCTGAGTGCTTGTTGGTACGAGTGTGTGTGGGACCCACAAGGGTACTTGCTTGTTTGGTAGGCCCGTAGGGCCGGTACTTACCTGTGGTCGTGGCATTGAGGGTTGTAGCAGAGAAAAACACTCAAGTGGCGAAGCTAGCGGCCCTGAGGCCCTTGGGGTAGCGGAAAAACACTCAAGTAGGCCGGTAGGCCGATACTGCCCCCCACTGCAGTTGGCGTGAGGGGGTACTGGAGGCCGAGCAGAAAAAGACAAAGTTGGCATTTTTAGAGTCCAGTAGCGGTAGGGTAGGTCTAGGCCGGTACCAGTCCAACCAGTCTGAGTCTAGAGCCTGTACGGGTAATATCAGGGTCTGCAATGATGTTTCCCTCCGAAACGGAGGAGGTACCGGTTGCTTGGAGAGGCCGAGCGGCCTGGAAGTCACCGCCCAGGAGGCAAGTAGGCCGCTATATCAAGAGGCAGGGCGGAGAGCCCGGCCTCATTCTTCAGTGTGCGAGTTGGGCGTCACGCTGCTGGAGCGCTGGCTGGAGTAGAGTTGGGCACTACAGCGCTGCTGGGAGGAAGAAGCCGTGAGCTTCCACCTTGGCTATGGTGGAGCTCTACCGGTAGTAGGAGGAGGGAGAAGGGGACCAAGGAGGAGAGTGGCGAGGTACTCACTGGCTATGGTAGACACCATCTTCATCTCCTTGCTAGGCGCTGCATCAGGAAGGCCCCAGTGGGGGTAGTGCCGCATCAAGGAAGCTCGGGACAGAGTCGGGCATGGTGGCTGAGTGAGCAGCGGCATAGCTGCATGGTGATGACCTTAGAGTGAGGCAGCGGCATAGCTGCTTTGAGTGGTCCTTTGGACAGGAGGCTGAAGCCTCAGTAGTCCACCATAGCCTCGGCCTCTATGTAGAGGAAGAAGAAGGGTTGCCATGGCTATGGTGGAMCTCATCTTATGCYTGCAGTAGAAGTGKGAYTCGGAYATTGATTCTGGTTCAGCTGTTCAACATTATTATTGTTTATTTATTGTTTCAATAAGAGAGGAGGAGATAAAGAAGAGGAGGTTGTTGAGCGAAGAAGAAGAGCTTTGTCTTTGGTCTACGCTGGAGTACATCATCTCTTTCTTCTTTCCTGATTCTTCTTCTTCTTCTTTCCCTCTCTCTCCTCTCAAGTTCTTTCATTCTTTTGCAATTGGATGGCATTGGGCTCAAGTTCATTCATTTCTTTTCGCAATTGGACAACACTGTACTTTCTGATGATTGTGGACTTCAAAATTGGCCAGGATCATAACATTGGTATCAGAGGGGATTCTACTTGTTGGCGAGAGTTGACTTTGCTGCCATAACCCTAACCCTAGTGGTAAGGGCTACCACTTAGGGTTAGGGCTGGAAGTTAGGGTTAAGTGGGGCAGCGTGGTAAAGGGAAGCTGCTCCCACCTGGCAGGGCCGTGTAGGGTCGACACTAGACCCGGCCAGGTTGTTTGAGTGCATGTTTGTGGTGGCGAGACACAAGGTGGGACTTCGTGATGCAATTTGAGAGAGGCGACAGTGAAGGGCACCT